AATTGAGCAACTGTGAGGATCCATTCATATCTGCCACCAGGGAATAGATGGACTCATTTTTAGGAAAGTACTTTGGAAAATGGTTTTGCTGATATCTCTAGAGAACAAAGAAGAGGGGAAAAAATGGTAAGTTAAAAGCAAAAAGTTTGTTGTTGTTTGTTTATTTTTTATTTTATTTTATTTTTTCTAAAGTTACTCTCTGGTCAAGGAAAGTGTACAGAAACCAGAGAACTGCCCTTCCCCCCCCAAACTGTCTTTGATTGACCTTGGTAAATTTCTCATGTATGGGTTTCTCTTTCATCTTTGCAGACTAAGAAGCTGTGATTTCCTTTGTGCGAGTTGATTTGACCCATAGAAACAAGACTCTCAGAGACTAAAGTGTAGAACAGATACTGGCTTATTAGTTTATGTAAGAAACAATGTTGAGGACACAGAGCAGCTGCCAAAGAGTGATTAGCACATTTTTTTTTTTATGTACAAAATCTTCTCAAACCAAATCATAATCACAAAGGTGTCTGGGAATGAGAATGAAGATGAGTTGATTATATAATTGGAAGTTTATTGCCGAGGTCTGCAGTGTCCAGCCCCACGGCAGGGGGGTACCTGCCATATCAGTGAGATCTTTTTGATAGTTGAAATGGCAGCCTGTTCCTTAACCAGCACTTAGATGGAAAATGCCAGTAATTGCCCTGTGACGCTCCTCTCTTTTTCTACTGCTGAACAATCATTTTGTTGAATGTTGAACTTTCATTCTTATGTGTTCTCTATATGTCTATCTGTCTGTTTATCTATCTCTCTCTATCTGTCTATCATCACCTTCATCTACCCATCCATTTTCCTGCTCACCAAAAATCAGGCAAAGTACAGTGGTAGAGCCTAGGAACCATCTCAGACTTTGAAGATGAATTTATAGATCTTTTCTCCAATCCATATGTCTTGATTTACAGATTTTTTTTTGAGAGATTTCTGTTATAGGGCACACACACTCGCCAAAGAGACAGAGAGACAGACAGTGAAAAATCACCTCTTGGAGGGGATGGTCATACTGCAATCTCTTCTCCTCCATTCTCTTCTTTGGATCCTGGGCATGCATGAACACATACCTGGCATGAGTTTCAACCCTTCAGGTCTGGGACTTGAACCATGGATGACTGTGTGGGAGTCCTTAACCATTACACCACTTGATGGCCCCTTGATTTTACTCTCAAGGACAACCTTTAGTTCCTCTGGATAATTCTTCTTTTTGATAAGTGTGAGATTGAGGATGTACTGAACATGGGTGGTAGAGCGTATATAAACAGCATACTCAATTTAGGGACCACAGAGTGAGGCTATGAGAACTTAACACCTGCTGCGGAGGTCTGAGGGCAGGAAAACACCCCATCCTTCCAAGATGAAGTAAGAATTTTTTTAAATGGAATTTGTTGAGATTCTTTATTTCTCTGAGCTGTCTCAAGAT